GCACAGAACATGAGTGTGACTGCACACTGCTTTTCCTTACTTTCCCTTTAAGGACGCAGAATCACACAGAATAGTGCTACTCCCTTCTGGTAAACACCAACAGTTCTCTAGTAAAATCCAATCAATTCATACTTTAATTACATATATATTTAGTTACATATTGTATTATAATGTAACTAGGCCTAAAACACAAATAATTAATAATATAAGATACTCAAGCCTAATTTTTATGACTTTTTCTTTAGTAGTTGAAATACTTTTTAAAATTCTCTGTGTATTGTGTTTTGCCAGCATGTATGTCTGTGTACCATGTACATGCCTGATGCTAAAGAGGCCAGAAGAGGCTGAGGATCCCCAAGAACTGAAGTCAGAGCTGTGGCTCTGGGAATTAGCACCTGGTCCTCTGAAAAAGTTTAAATGAGTTCTCTAAGCCAGATACCCTAATACTTTTCTCTCTCGCCATGTAGAGACCAGGACCCTGCTTCGGAACCTCACAGAGACTCCTGAGCTGCAGTGTTCCCAGAGTCCAGGGTGAGGCCTTCATCTGAGTAGACCCACTCCACAGGGAGAGGAGGCGTGGGCAGGGACACGCTGTTCACTGGGGAGAGAGCTACAGTTCTGACACCTCGGTGGGGGGAAGCATAGTGTGGGCACTGAAAAAGCGGTCAGATGAGAAAGGGAAAATAACAATCAGAGTATAATGGGAGTGAGGTTGATGGAACTTCTTCACGGTTTTGAGACGGGGTTCTGCTGTGTAGCTCGGCCTGGCCTGGAGGTGAGCTCCTAAGCCTCGCCGTCCTGAGGTTCACAATTATACATACATGCAGCTACATTCTCGGGGCTGCACTCCACACTGACAGTCATACTTTCCACCAGATAGTAACAAAATAACCGTGGAACCCATACTAGATATTAGAGATCACGGGAATGTTCTGAAATTGAAGTTCGTGCCTGAACAAGACTCTTCTATTTGTAAGCCAAGCATGCATTTGTAGATTTAAACCACTGCAAGGAAACGCAAATCCTGGATAAAAGATAGAGTGTGACAGTTCTGAACACTTACATTGTTACAGTAAAATGCGTAAAATACTCCCGAGACATAGCAGCCCAGTATTCCAATAGAAATGCCTGCATAATCCAACGCCATCCATCTTCGACAAGTTTTCTCTGACCGATGACAGGAAAAGAGATGATAGCCCACTGAGCAAAGCATACAGACCTGCAAAAGGAAAAGCTGACTTTAAGAATGAAGTGAGACAAAACGAAATCAGAATAATTCAGAAATGTTCTTCAGAGAGCTGGCTAAGACGCCAGGCTTCCCACCGGGGTCACTTCAGTTGAATTCCAGCTGTGCACCTCACTGTAGGGCAAACTGCCACTCAGCTTCATGAGTTTATCAGGAAAATGGGGACCACAGTCACTAAAGAATTAAAAATTATAATTACTTTTAAATATAAAACTGTAAATAAACAACTAGGGCTGTTACACAGAGAAACCCTGTCTCAAACAAACAAACAAACAAACAAACAAAAAGGACTTTGGATCTCTGGAGAAGCACTGCTCTAGCAGGCTCTATTATAGGGAGGTCAGTGTAGCGCACGAACACAAGGAAAGCAGGTACTGGCTGTGGGCGCACAATTTACCTGCAGTCACCAGGCAGAAGGGAAAAGCATCACGAAAGGGTCGATGCCTGAGCTGCAGCCCAACATTCGCTAGCCTTCATCAGGGCATTAAAAATGTCTGCACGTTTTTCTGGGAAGGTGCTCCATAAGGCAGTCCACATAATGAAGAATGGGAAACCACTAAAGAACGGAAGATGGCTTTCTTTACGCCACAGTTAAAGCGGCAGCACAATGAGGTGTTCTCATTTTGGCATTAGAGCCCAGGGACGCAACTTGTGAGTATGAAGCACATCTTCACAGAGGTGGAGACTGGACAGGCTGAGAGGCCACGAACATGGCCCTGGGGAACAACAATGAGCTCCTCAAGTCCGTGGCGGTAGAGTGGAGAAAGTGGGACTGTGGCTGGCCCAATAGCGTGTACCAGCTCGGCCGTATTCTCTGGTTATCCCTGGGCTTACGTGACATGAACCTGGAGAGCTTCATGGTAGATCTGCTCACTGAGAGAGAAGAATCTCATTGTCACAGAAATGACACAAAGTAGCCAGCAGAGGCACTCAGTGGGCAGGCAGAGAGGAAGATGTGTCTATTACCAATGCGATATCAAACGTGGCTTCCTGTGGAAGTGGGGTTCCAAGTGACTTTTACTCCCCTTCATAGACTTTTATCTGCTTGATTTTCGACATGAGTAACTGATAGGAATTACAAAAGTCTGTAACAAACTTTACCTTATTGTGAAAAGGGGAGTCTGAAGAAAAAAAAAACCTATGGTATCAAAAGGAAAAGAGAATTCTGTCAATAAAACACTCCAAGTTTGAAAAGGTAAACCTACATTTTGTACGTTCTGTTTGAAGAGGCATGAACTCTTGTTAAGAGTTCCTAGGAAGACTAAAATTTCTGACAAATTTAATATGTTTCAGATCTAGGGGAAAGCATCCCAAATGGGGAAGGTAATTCCAGTGTACACCCAACAGATCCACCACATTGGCAGGATAACAAAGTATGCCATGGTCTGGCCCCTGCCTATCGCCTGCCTTTCCTTCCTCCTCCACCACCCCAGGGGTCAGCTGAAAAGATGAACACCTCTCAGTCCAGAACACGCTAAGTTGCCTGTTGCTTCTGGGCCTCTACCCAGCATTTTTCCTGTTTAAATGCCTGCATTGACCCTGCCCTCCCTCCCACATACGTGACTTGGTCTCACTGCCACGGGCATTCTATTCAGTCCTACACAGCACTACTGTAGCGTTACTCCCACCATTACAGGGCTCGGAAGGATATCGGGGCATTAAACAACTACCTGCTAAACTGAACTTGAAATTACTAAAGAGAAAATTGGAGATGTTTCTAATATGTTTCCATTTAGGGCCAAAGTTTTGAGTGAAATAACAAGGTTATGAAATATAAGATGCAATAAAAACTCTGTGTAGTTCATTTCTGGGCTCCCCTTTCTGGCTGGGCAGAACAGGCTCAAGTGCAGAGTGCTGGTCTATGACTGGCAGGAGGAAATGTGACGCTAGCCTTTCCTTTTTAACGTTGTTCTGTGTTCTGTTTTTTCTTTAATTATCAGAATGTCAATGTACTTATGGGCCTCTATTTATTTCATACTTTAAAATGATCTGTTTGAACACTTCGATTTCCAATGGTGCCCTGCCTATATGATGTGGTCTCAATTATGGGAGTAACTGACCACTATCTGATTGGATTTAAGGCTCACTCCATAATATGGAACCCATGCCTGGGTGGCTAAGAACCTGGGATGAGATAGGCCATGGACCTAGGGAGGGAAATCAAATACTACTGTTCTACTTAAAGAATGTAGCAATATAATTACTCCTAACAACTCTAGGCTATACCCACAGATTAGTGTCTTGCTCAGCCAGCATCAGAGAAGCTTCTTCCTGAAGTAAATGGGAACAAATAAAGACCCACAGTCAGACAATTTATAGAGAGCGAGAGACCTTGGACCGCCCAGTTCTAAATGGGATGGCACCATCAAATCCCTCTCCGCAGGGTCCAGGGAACCCTGCAGAAATAAGAGCCAGAGGGGATGGAGAGGAAGCATGCATATATGAACTCAGAGACTCCGGCAGCATGCACAGGGCTTGCACAGGCCTAAGCTGGATGGAGTCCCAGCACAGAGAAGATAAAGTAGATATAATCTCCCATCTCTAATCCAGAAACTATCTCCAGTTCACAACACTCACAAAGGAAAAATTAGTTTTCTCCAAAGGAGTCACACTGAGTATATGTGTGTGTGTGTGTGTGTGTGTGTGTGTACACTCAAACAAAACAAAAACAAAACACTTAAAGGCCACCATCATGCCCAGCAGCAAATGCCAACACAAAATGAACTTGATGGTAATTTTTGGAGATTTTTTTTGGCATACTTTATTATACATAAATAATACTTTATTTGGGCATTATTTTACCTTAGTGGTCTTTTGCTTGTATATTATGATTTCCGATGCTGTGTTTTTATAGGTTTTCCGTGTGTGTGTGAGCATGTTTATGGACTTCTCTTCCTTTTTTTCTCTCCCTGTTTGTTTTGTTCTTTTCTGGTTTCTGTGTGTATTTGACTGTTTTTTTAAGGAGAGAGAAGGAAGGCATAAAGTTGTCTGGGTGGGAGGCTGGAAGGATCTGGAGAAGATGAAGGAGGGGACATGGTGATCAGAATATACTGTATGAACAAAAATCTATTTCTTTTTGCTATTGCTGTTGTTTGAGGCAGGGTTTCTCTGTGTAATCCTACCTGTCCTGGAACTCACTCCGTATATCTGGCTGGCCTCAAACTCACAGAGATCCACCTGCCTCTGTCTCCCAAGTGCTGGGATTAAAGGTGTGTGCCACCACCACCCAGCTACAAAAGTCTATTTTCAATAAAAATAAATAAAACACCTGCTTGAAACTTATTAAATGTTAACTTTAAAGGCATTTATACAGATCCTAGCAACAGCAAAGAAACCTAGGGAAAGTGAGTCTGAAGTCTGAGAACAAAGGTCAACACCAGCAAGGTAAGACAGCCGAGACAGGCAGGGTGGAGACAGTAAAGGCAAGGCACACATATATTTTAAATAGGACAAAGAAAGAGCCTTTCCAAACAGGTTTGAAGTAGACACTTTAGCCAATAATATAGTACAGTCAAACTCATATCCTAGTGTTAATCTTACAGCCAAGATGTCTACAAAGATAAAAAAGCAAGGCATGGTAATACATGCCTACAATCCTGGCATCTCATGAGGAGGGAGGCCGAGGAAAGAAATTCAGTGCCAGCCTGGGCTACACCATGAGAGTCAGACAGACAGACAGACAGACACACACACACCCCTCCGGGGTTCCTCAAAGCGAGGTTCTGAAGCCGTCACCCGCCCAGGCATGTCCGACAAAAGTTCTCTTCACCTTGCACGGTGCTGTGAGATGACTCACCTGGAAGCAGAAGAGACAAATGGAGCAGATTACAAAGTCTTCTCGGGACGCACTTGCCGACGGCAGCACGGACGTCATGTCATATATTCCCAGGGTGAAGAAGAGGAAGAACCCCAGCAGATGACTCCAGATGTTTACCGTCTCATTGGATAAGATAAACAGACTGCAAAGTAAACAAACATGCAGCTCAGATCCGCACGGTTCTCAGGTTAGGGATCAGCCCTGCCGGGGCCTTTCTCAGATTAGACGTTTCACTGGGTATGTCTGGGATGTTCTCCCATTTCCACTAATTCCAGGACTTACAGCTTTTGGTGATCAGCTCTTAGTGTTCTTAACATTTCTTCCTTCCTATTGCATCACTTTTTTGAAGCGCGCCCTTGCTCAGATTCCTCACTTTCTACAGTAATAAGTGTGCAGACAAACACTATATGTTAGCTATGAAACTGCCAGTGAGATACTGCTCAGTGTTAGCTGGGGCATAAATGTGAAATACCTTTGAAGTGCTGGTTAAACACACAAAGTTCAGAGCATCCAGGAGAAGCAAAATACACACAGATGAACCCACTGGAAAGGTCCCAAAGACCGGCAAGCCAGTCAGAGCAGCTTTGCTATGCAAGTTCTAGAACCTCTTTCTAGGTGGCATGAGTTCATTTCTTTTAGGAACAATCAGGAGGTTACTTTGTGTGTGGGAACTCTTTGTCCTCTTAAGATGTCTCGGCAGCACAGGCCAGGAGAGAGTCTATTACCCTGACCTCTGGCGTCAGTTTCTTCATCTATAAAGAGAAGGAGCTGTGTTAGATGTTGCTGCTTGCTTCCGGTGCTCTCAATTTTGGGAAACGACTCTGCATTGTTACCACAAGCTGACAGACACCATGACTGGAGAGTTAAAGATACCCACCACGTCTCTCTAGCAAAATCGCCGCTTTTGTCAATCAAAAGCCTTGACTGTTAATGAACCAGGGGTGGGTAATAAGATTTAATTATTCTTACATTTCATGTCTGTGATGTTTTGCCTGTATATATGTCTGTGTACCACCCGTGTGCCTGGTGCCTAAAGAGGCTAGAAGGCATCAGATCCCCTGGAACTGGAGTTATAGATGGTTGTGAGCTGCCATGTGGGTGCTGGAAATCCAAGGCAAGTCCTCTTGGAGGGCAGCCAAAGTTCTTAAGCCCCGAGCCATCTCCTCAGGTCCTGAATCAGAAATTCTTAATAGCACAAATCCAAGCTGGCCACTTGCCACAGTCCTCATGGTTCCCACAGCCTTATTTTTATGAGGACAAAACACAGTGAAGTCTCAAATGATCAAAAATAAAGTATATCTTGTATCTGGAAACACAGACTTGATCTTGCTTATTATCATCAAACACGAAGACTATCTGTAACTGGGGAGGAAATAAAAGAATGTTCTAGAAGCACCTAATTACAGGACTGTTTTGGCAATCAACACTACATTCTGCCTATTGCCTCAGAAGTTTTCATTTTATGAAACCCAGTATAACCTGATTAACTAAGCACATTCTAAGTGCGCTCCATCCGGAAAAGACTGCAGATAGAACGGATAGACACACTGGACTTCTCTCCATATGCACAGTTCACTCTGGAGACTACTGAAGGGCGAAAGAAGGGAGGGTAAGACCCAACCTGGATATGATTATATTGTGGGAAAAATAACCCCAATAAAGGATACATTATTATTGCCAGAAAAGCTAGGCTCCTGCAAATTCTGTTCATCTTTAAAATCAACAGGGTAACTCCTGCTCAAACTTCTGAAGCTGCTAATAAGAGTCGGGTTAATTAACTTGTGTCTGATGCAACAACTCAAGAGCTAATGTTGTACAGCCTTGAGATTTGGACTCAAGTCATCAAATTCAGAGGACACTGCTAGGTGGGAACAAACATTTACAGCCATTCGCTGCTAACCTGCCCTTCTCCATCTTTAGGGCAAGGTTCACCTCTGATTTCTTATGCAATTATGTTCACAGGGCACTGGGAAATGAAGCAGTAATTAAAACTCGAATTGTGACATCCACTTGGTCCTCCCTTCAGTACTACTTTCAAGGTAACAAAAATGGGGAAAGGTAAACAAAATGGGGAATGACCACGTGGGGAAGGTCAACGATTAGACGTTGCTGTTTGAGTCATTCAACAACCCACACTCTGGAAGCAGAGTCTGCCAGTCCGGTGACCTGGAGTGTTCTATTGCACTTCTGCTAGTGTGTTGACTTTAGTACACACAGTCAGTTCTGACAGAAGACTACTCTGAAAACTAAAGGCACGTGTTTTGATTTGCTTGTTTTGTTTTTAAAGAGACTTTTGGGGCTCTGGTTTTAAAGACCTAAAGTTACAAATCCATCCTGTACAGAGGCTTCCAAGGTGTTCTGCTGGAGGCTGGCCGGCCCCTTTCAGCTTTCTTTGCTACAGGGCTTTTTCTACACAGCATTTTCCACAATGACTATTATGTAATTGTGTAATTATCTCTTTAGTGTCTGCCACTCATGCTAGACCATAGTAGCTTCATGGGAACAAGGGCTATGCCTGCCTTCTGCAGGATCTCGTAGAGTGCCTACCACCTCACAAAGGCTTCATGCACATTTGCTAGATCGTTGAAGGAATCAAGGCTTCCCACATACACGCGCACAGCATGCTATTATATGGACATTCAGCTGGCCAACACGTCTGAATTCCCACAGTGCTGGTCTAGAAACAAAGCTTCAGGTATACACAAAGCAAGTAAGGTTCGGCCATTGTCAGCGGGGTACACTCCAACCCATATTCCCAGTGAGTATCAAACGGAATAAAGGAGGTAAAAAGCGCTTTGTAAACAGCAAAGGGCTATTGGGGAAGGCAACGATGACCACTAATGGTATCATTATCTCGTGGATCAAGGACCCCCGGAGGAGAGCTAGGGCAGCAGAAAGATTAAGGACCCGGAGGTGAGGAAATGATGCGCACAGAGGAAAGCGGAGGAAGGCGGGGAGACCAGACAAAAAGCGTGAGAGGAGAGGATGCGCCGCGCGGAGCAGCCGCTGTACCTTTTGATACACAGCCTGGAAGGCAGGTAGGCCCGGTAGCCGTCGGTGATGTACGGATTATCTTTGAGGGACACCGGGATCTGTTCGTAGGTGTAGAGGCGAATGCCGCGGGGCACCAGGACCGGCCAGTACTGGTAGCTGCCCAGCTCGATGTAGTGCGCGCTCTTCAGCAGTTTCTGATGCATGATTCCCCGGCCTTGTTCCGACCCCGCCTCCCCGGGGAGGGGGCTTCGCCGCTGGCGCCCCCGCCCCGGAGCCGCCGCCGCTGGGCCAGGTGCTCTGACCCGCCGCTGCCCAGACCCAGCCCCGCTACAC